CCCTACTATACAAAAAAAACTTGTCCTTGAAAAGGCTATATCTTTGCAAATAAAGCGTTAGCAAGAGACAGAAATAATTCATTTTTCTTAAATTCTCCTCAGCTTATCTATCCGTAACACGAGCACCCCTCTTTTCATTGCTTGCACTTCATTTATTTTAGTACTAATTACATCCTCCCAAAGTATGAAGGCGAGTATTGGGTATAAATAAATCAGGAAATATTGTCCACTAATCACATACGAATTCAAGAGGTGTGAGTTCCTTAAGAGCTTTGAGTCTTTTAGCTTNATCTGACAGTTTACGCTGATAACGGTACTAATATTGAAAATGTATACTTAAGCCTTAATGATAAAGCAAAAAAAAAGATTGAAAGATGCAGATACATCCTCCCAAAGTATGAAGGCGAGTATTGGGTATAAATAAATCAGGAAATATTGTCCACTAATCACATACGAATTCAAGAGGTGTGAGTTCCTTAAGAGCTTTGAGTCTTTTAGCTTAATTGTAGGCCATAACGAAGCTATAAAGATGCTCTTTGAGTTACTAATGAGATTAGTAGAGTAATACCCTTGAACTACAACATCTTTTAGCATCCTATTCATACGCTCAACTTGGCCACTTGTCGAGGGATGTCAGATTTTAGTAAGACGATGTTCAATGTCATTTTTGAAAACTCTATCAAATATGCGCTAAAAAGCGTGTTTATGACGTTCTTAATTCTCATAGGGTAATTTTGATTAAATTACGCAAAAACTCAGTAGCTATTGGTTTTATAGCGTTATTATGCAGTTTAACATAAGCAAGTTTAGCTGTAACTTCCCTTCTTCTGTTATAACTTCTGCGATATCAATATGGAAATAACCGATTGGACATAGCTTGAATTTCTTTTTGGCTTTTATCTCTCCTTCAACATCTGACAGTATGCTAATGCCGTGTCTTTGCAAACAATGATGCAAACTAGACCGAGTTAAACAAGGAATTATGGCCCGCAAAGAATAAAGGCAATTGTCCAAAGGAAGAAGTATATGCTTGCGAAAAGTGACAATTATTGCTTCTTCCCCTTGAGTTGACATCTTTGATTTTCCATGTTTTGGGCCAATTGCAGCGTCTATAACAAATGAGCGTTTTTTCCATTTTACAATAGCCTTCGGATTAAGATTATAGTGCTCTGCAAGCTTTGCTATACTCTCTTTACTGTTTTGTATTACTCTACACACCTCCTATATTGTTTTGGCGCACCCATGTAATACTTGTCACATACTTTAAATAAGAAGAAACTGCTATTTTATTTCTCTAAATCCTAAAAAGGACAAAAGGTATAAAGATACTATTTAAAATATAAGTTCTCTTAAAAAATAAGAGAACTTGGCTGTACGCTACTGGCGCTTCTACCCCCCCCCATCCTAAATCTCGTACACTTATTTCTTACTTTAACTTAACTCAATTTATATCAAAAATGAATTAAGGAAT